ATAAAATGTTTTTCCAAACGATTCACTAAAGGTGTAGGAAAACTCTCATAAACTTTTTTCTTTTCAGCAATCAGTATAAGTCTGAAAATTTATCAAATGTAATTGATCATAAATATTTGACTATACTTAAAATCTTCATGGACAGAGCATTTCATTCTGTGAGTTCGTAAGCCAAGATCAACATAGCGATGACGCCCACTTTTAATATAATACTAAATACATTGGGGAAAATCTTAATATAAAAAATACTTTGACAAACTTGATTTAGAAGATCATAAAGACTTTCATATAAATTTTCCAAATTTAAAAGAATAATCATTCGACCAGTTTCCATACATAATCTAATTTCACTGATATTACGACAAACCTATAAAAATTGTAATGTTACTATAAAACTGCTGCTCTTCTTACCTGCGCAAAATCTCTGTCTTTTGGAAAACTGCTGCCAAATAATACAAATGGTTCATATTGGGATGCACTTGACTTTGAATAACTACTCATTATGTAATGCTTGAGAATTTGTAATGAAGAATAATTATCAGTTAAGAATAACAAATAGCGACTTTCACTATTGCAAAATGTAATGAGTTATTACAAAAAATTATTTACATGTACTAACCCATGTTTTGATGTATCTCTGTTAATCAAACTTTCTCTTATTAGACCACGTGGTGAGCAGTCAGGATTTGCAGGGCTATTTTCCTGTCCAAATATAAATATTAGATAGAAAATAAACTTTTACTGGATGAACAGGAAAAAAGTTTGCTTCATCATCAATTTCTACTGGTTTGGAAGATGTCATAGAAATTAATTGAATCCCATGGCCTAAATTAAGCACATAAAATTATTGTCAATAACATTAAGAGTATAACTGGATGAGTCCCACAACATTATCTATTCTTAATGAAATCAACTAACTTTTAACTTCCTTTACAGAAAAGTAACAGCGTCCTTTTTTCAATGACTAACATAATGTTAAATTAATTACATAAGTAGAAAAATTATTGCTACCAGCTTTCCTCTATATTCTGCAATAAAACATTCTGGGAAATACAAACTTTGAAACATAAACAATTTCTTTTTTCCAGGTTGGCTTTCACAATGAATCACAAAATGACCTTAATAGAAATGAAATATTTATGACAGTAAACATTAATTACTTGGTATATTTCTCTCTTCTGTGAATGCTAATGTAGCATTACATGCTGTTGCTAGAAATGATTTTGATTTTTCACACTTTAACAAAACAACAGCATTGTTATGCAATCGTTTTATCAAATTTGAAGCAGGTGGAATGCTCTAAAGATGATTTAAAATTAAAGTATCAAAGAAGTAAGTAAAAATGCTGGAATTACATCATTAAGTTCTGGAAGCTTATTAAGAAAACATTTATAAGGATCAAAATCTTTAGTTGCTGTTAATCCACTAAAATTACGTTTGATAGCATGCCTCAGTTGAGGTACAGTAAGAATAGTGCCTGTTGATTCTGTCATCCAATGGAGCATCTTAATGAGACTAGATTTACAATTATAAAATCAAATTTTTCAAAGTTTAGAAGAGAATATACCTGTAATAATCTCTAAGACCAAAAAATTCTGTTGGTTGGTTCTTAAATATCTCATGATATGCACGAGCAAGATTCTCAAAGTAGTGGGCAAGTCGTGATTGTGCAGCTTTGTCAGAACAAATCCCTCTACATTTAAAAAATAGTAAAGTTAATGACAAAGAATGAACATACTTTGCACTGTCTATAAGATCATTGATTGATGGTTCACTTCTCCTGACTAAAATTCCTCTGTTCATTTTAGCTGGATCCAATGCCCAGTTGGATATACCAACAAATGCTACACGATCTTCTCTTTTTATACGCTAAGATAAATAACTAGCATAACACTTAACACTTATTAATTGCTTACTGTGTCAGTACTACCAGTTCCTTCTGTTCCATCCTCTAAAAGTGGATGCAGAGACTTCAATGGTAAATAAGGAGATGCTTCAGCCAATCCAACCTCATCCAGCACAACAACTGACACAAAGGAACTGTCATTCTTCCTTCTTTTTTCTTGATATTTAACAGCAGAGTAAAATACATCCTTGATACTACCTGCAGTTGATAATTCACTGCATTGATAGGAATGAAGATGAACCTAAAATTAGAGAAAGCCAATTGTATTATAATAGAATCACATAAAATTACATGATTAAATTGTTTCAGAGTTTTATTCTTGGAATTCTGTCCTCTCATTGAATTTTGAATTATGGTTTTTGCTAGTGACTTTGAGCTACCAGGTTTCCCAACTAGAAACAGTGGAATACGTAACTGAATGCATACAAACATCATAAACAAGTTCTCTCTCAATGCTGCATTCCTTGCTATATTTTCTTCAATAGACATACAGTCAAGTAGCTTATTTTGATACCTACATTGTATAAGACATAACAGTACAACCATTATGTTTAGTGCTTACCCAGATAATATTGGTCTAAAACTACATGTATGTGCATGACGTACTGACAAACACTTTAATTCTTTTGAGTTGCATATAGTCTTAAAAATACAATCTTCAAATTTTGTCCTAGCATTAGCACTATCAGCATCTTGTGAGTCAAGTCTGGCAAAGTATGACACTGTAAGTGCCAATAATAAAGAATCGG